TGCCAGGGAGGTTTTGGAGCCGGAGCGGAGCTCCATGGGCCCGTGTCCTGGCGGCGTAAAGGCTGTTTCCTTCAGAAATGGCAGACAGCGAGTGTTGGCTCTCGGACGCCAGAGAGAGAGTCCCTGTCCCAAGCAGGGCACATCTCTTGCCTCAGCAAAAACCGTGACAGAGAGAGCAGTGTCCTTGCCATCCCAGCGAAAGCCAGTGGCAGTCAAGGGGGAGACCCGATGGGTAAAGCACAGAAGCTGCCTCCGGTACCTGCTCCATTCCCATTTGCAGGGGGATGCTGGACTCCATCATCCGAAGATGTACAGCTGTCATCCTTCCCGCTCACCAGAAAATCAGAGGACAAGAGATGGTAGTCGTTTTGATTCAGGAGAATAGTGACTCTGATTCTTGCCCTCGACATACACCAGCTTTGGTCTTCATTAAGCCAACAGCCCCTTTTGCATGAACCCTCAAGTCATATATCAAATAATTTAAAAGGCTAGGGAACGAACGCATGTCTTTGTGAAGCTTTGCCAGCTAAATGCAGGAACCATGGATCTCAGAGTGGTTCCTCACCCTGATGCAACTTACATGGCCTCCAGCCATCCCTTACAGATGTTTCTCTAGTCTGGTACTGAGAAAAAAATGCCCACTCACACACAAAGATTTACAGCCTCTCTTAGTTTCCATACGTCACCATCATCCTTCATCCTTAGGTTTTATTTAAACCTTAGGTGCAAATTAAGTTGATTTCTTTTTGTCTTGTTCTCAGTGAACACAAAGAACAAATCAGTTTCTTCTTTAATAAGATTTTTTACATAGAGGAAAATGATCCTGCTAAAATCAAATTGTTATTTTATGTAAAATAGAGGCTATTTCATTCAATGGTATTATGGTAACAATTGCAAAATTAATAGACATAATTTGCAGGGATCTGTTTACAGATGCTCCACTCGCATGCAGCGTGCGGTGGCTGGAGGGCACAGTTCCCAGTTGTTACTGTCCCTGTGGCTTGCCTGGGTTGGTACTGACTCATGGGCAGCTACACTTAACCTCTTGCACTCCTTTCTTTCACACCAGCTTTGACTTTCTTGTCTCAGGTGCCAAATTAATTTCTGCGTTTTGATTTAAATCCTATTTTACCTTCATCTCCTTTCAAACTGTTCATAGTTCTTGGGTTGTTATTTTTTTTCTCTGCCTCTTTAATCCATCCCTCTGTAGTTTTATGTGATTATCTGGCAGATCAGTGACCTCGCAGAGACCTTTAAACTCTTCCCACTACTTTTCTTGCAGCTTCTGTCTGCGTTCCTTCCTAACCACCCTCAGTTCTCCTCCGCTGCTGGGGCCCCCTCAGTGCTGTCACGTTGGCATAGCATCACTGGTCTGCATAGAAATGGGGTAGAAATGAGTGATGGTGTCCATTTCTGTGCAGGTAAGTGTCTAATACTTTGTGAAGGTTTTTATTCTGTGAATTTGATAAGGTACAGTGTTAATGGATAACATGTATATTTGGGTTTTTTCAACTCCAGTTTTACTGTAGCCTTTTTACCATCTTCCCCACTCCCAGCTTCTTCCCTTTTGGTCTTTCCAAAACAATGCTGCAGAGTCTTTTCCTCTTCTGCCACAAATGTAAGATGCATCTATTTTACATATATCTGTATATTATAATTCTAATGCTACTGTATATTGTTCTGATAACTTATCCACTGTGATTTTTTCTTCTGCTTTTAAATAACTTGAATAAAAAAAAATCCTCAAGCTGTATGAAACCTAATTTGAGCTAATTCAGTGGGTTTTAGCCAGCCATATTTATGTAATGTTGGCAGAAAAGAGTTTTAATTCAGTATTTCTTGACAAAGTGTGGCTTCATTAATGACTATCATTTCCATGGAACCTCGATAATTGACACCTTGGGATTACAGTGCACTTAGTATGATTAGTAGATTGGCCTTGTGAAAGACCATTAGAGTTACTGTGACAGAGAGGCAGGGATTGCTGTCAGTGCTGTGTGATCACTCCCTACCTAGCCTGAAAGGTAACAGAAAGAGCAGTGGTTAGGATATTTTGTCAAAAATGGAAAAGAGCATGTCTTTTAGTTTAGTTACGCCCAATAAAATTAGCATGGGTTAACTTTTTTTGTTACTTGATACTTAACTCTTTATGTAGGCAATAGCTGAAATATTCTGATTTGAGAGTTGCTGAATACCCAGTAGTTATGGGTAGCAAGGGACGGGGGCTCAGGACTTCTTAAAAGTACCCCTCTCTAGGTTCCTCCCTAGAGGATCCCAAGTTTGACAACGTTGATCCTAAATTTTGAGCATCCTCTACAGCTCCCTGATTCTCCTTAATAGAACTGGACTCCTGTCCTGGTTTCGGCAGGGATAGAGTTAATTTCCTTCCTAGTAGCTGGTACAGTGCTGTGGTTTGGATTTAGGATGAGAACAAAGTTGATAACACACCGATGGTTTAGTTGTTGCTAGGTAGTGCTTACACTAGTCAAGGACTTTTCAGCTTCCCATGCTCTACCGACTGAGAAGGCTGGAGGTGCACAAGAAGCTGGGAGGGGGCACAGCCAAACTGGCCAAAGGGACATTCCATACCATGTGACGTCATGCTCAGTACATCAACTGGGGGAAGCTGGCCGGGGGGGCCGCTGCTCGGGGACTGGCTGGGCATCGGTCGGCGGGTGGTGAGCAATTGTACTGTGCATCACTTGCATCTCAGTACATAAACTGGAGAAAGCTGGCCGGGGGGGGCTGCTGCTCGGGGACTGGCTGGGCATCGGTCGGCAGGTGGTGAGCAATTGTACTGTGCATCACTTGCTTTGTGTAGTAGTATTATTATTATTACATCATCATCATCATCATCATCATCATCTTATTATTATTATTATTATTATTATATTTCCATTATTAAACTTTTTATCTCAACCCACGAGTTTTTCTCACTTCCACTCTTCCAATTCTCTCCCTCATCCCACCGGGGTGGGGAGGGGGGAGTGAGCGAGCGGCTGTGTCGTGCTCAGTTGCCGACTGAGGTTAAACCACGACAACTCCCTTTGAAGCTGAAGGGGGTTGAAAGGCAACTGTTAGCCTGTGGCCTGACTGGAATTGGACATGCCCGATTTAGCTGAGGGATTTTGCATGGTGTAAGCTCAGCTAAAGCTGGGGAGTAAATTATTTTCTTCCAATTAATGCATATTTCCACTTTATTTTTGCCTCAGTAAAAGAAAGGGACTTGGCTAAGCTCTTTGGAGGCATCAGAACACATCTCTGCTCTCAGGGACTTCAAATGTAAACGGACAGGACAGAGAAGTGGAGAAAACAAAACGTTGGCTCCACCTGGGGAGCGGGAGCGTGAAGGTTAGTGACACACTGGCTGTCAGTGCAGAATCGTTTCTCCTTGGTGGCTTTAGGGGAGGGTGTTGGTTATTTATTGGAAGTGATGCACATCCACACAGACTCTGTGCATCTCCTGCTTAAGTAGTTGAACTGTTCTGCAGTGGATTTAACTGCATTGCTTCCTCTTAGCTTCCTACTGCTATCCTATAGTCTGCTGGCTCACATCTGAAGAATCTTTTATTCTAATTTTCTGTGGGTCACTGTTCCACAGTCAGCTGCAGAGGATGCACCTGGAGTGCTTCTCCAGAAATATTTGCGTTGTAAATAGGTGTAATTTGGTAGGAATCTGACTGGCTGGTGCGCTTTGCATTTCCACATGGTCCTGTACTAAGGTTCTGTACTTACTAGGTCTCTTGTGAGAAAAGCAGGTTTTATTCTCTGAATTCCCATAGCTAAAAATGATTCTTGAATGTATTGCACAATTATCACTTGCCTAAGTAGCATGCATCTATCTTTGCAACTTCTGGGTCTTAATTACTCATTTAAGTGTGTGGTAGAGCCAAGAACTACCCCCAGATTTTGTGAGGTCTTTGGTTTTTGGCCCCATGGTACATGGCTAGGGCAAGCAATGGCAGAGATAACATACCATGAGCACAAGTACTTTGTTCTTTTAAAGCATGTTAAAGGTGTCTCTCGAACTACTTGATTTGTACTCTAAAATGCTTCTGTGATACAAGAACAGCAAAAATACAGCTTTTAACAAAAGTTAGTATTTCTGCACTTGTCATGCTTTGTCATTTCAGGCTCTCAGGACTTATTTTTGTAACAGTTGACAGTTTTTCACTGTTTATCTTCTTGCAAATGGGGATTCTGTAGTACAGGCTTTCTGCCTAACAGGTTATCTTTACAGGTTACTGTTTCTGCTTAATTTGAGACAGTTCTTAAGGATCTAACGCTTGGAGCTGTTTTAACATAAGTCTTTGAACAGAATTTGAACTAGTGGTCCCAGCTAAACTGCATGCCACTAAAAATACTTTAGACTTGGTTTTTAGCCTTCACGATGCTGATGCAATACGACGCTCCTTGGGCACAACCTCACTTGTAACTTTGGGATTATCTCTCTTTGCACTAGTGACAAAAGTAGGTACTGCTGTTAACTGTGACTAAGGAAGTTCATTTTCTTTATGTATGTTTTTTATTACATCATGTTTTCATGTCTCCATCATAAGCCAGTATGACAGATGCAAGTCAATGCTGATTCCTAAAGGCACACATGCACATTCTCACTGTGCATGTACATTAACTTGTTAATCACACACTTTCTCTTTATTTAATTAGTAAAAATATATAAAGGAGATCTGCCAGCTGTATGATTTCATACTAAGTGCAAACCAACCGCAGTTATTTACCATTGCCAGTTTGTTACCGTTTTACACTTAGATTTCAAAAACATGACAGAAGTTTGTCCTTTTCAGTCAGCTGCACTTAACAAGTTACTTGGGATTGTCATTGTAGTATTTTTAAATGAACTTTTCCTCTGGGGTAGGCAGCTCCCCACCCCTCTGCTTCTGATGCAGCCTCAGCTGCATTTTTTGAAGTGGTGCTTAAGTCCTTCCAGGGCTGTAGTTCTATATATTACATGGGGAGTCCCTGTTTCTGAGGAACTGTGTAGTTAGAGCCTTTCCAGACTCCTGAAAGGTGGCAGGCTTATGGTATAATTTTGTGACTTTTTGTCTCTTCATACACTAGTCAAAGGACCTGCTGTAGTAGGCAACAAACTGAGCCTGAGTTTCATTTGTTATCTCCAGTGGGACTTCACTATAGTACCGGGACTGTTCCTGGTTCTGATCTTAGCATCTGTGGCCTCTGGCATTCTTTGTGACATCCTGCAATGGCAAGTATACTTGCGAGTACATGAGGCAATTGTGAGTATGCCTCATTTTCCATGAAGCTTTGCAGCACGTTGATCTATTTGTTGGATTCTGCAACCAGTTCAAACTTGCCGAGGATATTTTTCCATGGTTTAGTCCGTGAGTTTTTCCTACGGTCCCTGTTTTATTCCTCGTCTGGCTCTGTTTAGTGAACTTCAACCTTTCTCTACTTTGTTATTACAATGGAACATAGAACTACACTAATCCTTATTTGAGTTCACTGAAGTTTCTTCAAAGATGAAACTGGACTGCTGTGCTGCGTTGATATAGCAGAAGCCCTTGTACTCAAGCAAAACTTATAAGGGCTGACAGGCATGAAAATAGCAATGTAATTGGAAATTAAAAGAGGACAGACTTTCTTTATATAACAAATTGCTATTATGTTTCAGTGGAAAGATTTCCAATGTGAGTCTACAGAGCAGAATAAGATCATTTATGAAAAACGTTTTGTCCTTTGGTTTTTTAACAGTAGTTACAAATAGGTTATGTCCTATTGGAACACTAGTCTTCAGTATTTTGATAGTCTATTCAAAGTGCATCTCTGGTGTTATCTCACCCACTTACCTAGTTTAAATCTCTATTTTGGAGAAGACCTGGAGCAGAAAGTGCAAAAATCCATCAAGACTGGCTGTGTATCAAGGGAAAGTTACTTCATCTAAATATCTTACATATCTCCTTATATAATGAATAAACATTATATACACCATAAAGGTCTACATTCTCATGTTTCTTTCTGTGCCATGTATATTGTGCTCACTTTGTACAAATAGAGTAAATGTGGTTTTTACTTAGACCATCAAAGAGTCTACCAATTTCTTCTGCCTTCCAGGACAGAATTAATCTCAAATCATAGAGAATGGAGTTGGATGGCTGAATTATAGCCAAGCAGAATTTGGACTGCTGTGCTCAATAACACTGTCTGTATGTGCTCCAAAAAACAGAACTGGAATTTTAAGTGGGTGTCTGCTGCTGAATTATACATAAAGACATCATGGTCAGAAGGAGGGCCTCAAACTCCAGATGCCTGAACAGAAAATAAAGACGACCAATTTCAAAATAACATTTATTTTTTTTAATTGCTGAATATAAAGATTTCTGCTATAACATGTATAAATTCTAGTATTCTTTGCAATTGCATTAGTGACTCTTGGCTGGCTAATTAATATGACATTGCTGTTTGCTTGCATCCCTAAAGGTGACGATGTTGGCTACATGGACTGCCATGCTATAAAATGTGGACAGCAAGACTGACTGTGGCATTTGCAGAGTAAAGATGCTAGCGTCTAAGACCTTTTTTTCAAATAGATTATTATAAATAAAATTGATCTGATAATTAGAGCAGAAGGTGCAGTGGCCAAAATAGAACTGATGAATAATTTGAATAGTTATGTTCACTGTTGCTCATAGAAAAACACCTGGATTCATAAGCTGATAAATACTCCTTAAAACCACTTATGTAAAGGTAAATCATTCTTACGTAGTGAACAATTATGTAAAAAACCCAAGACAAAATCCACCATCTTTTTTCCAGTATCTTGTGGTGGATATGACGCTTATGTTTGGATGAAAATAGCACTATAATCTGAATCCTGAAGATTACATATTTGCAGTACTGAACATCTATCTGGATATATTAAATATTTTCTTGCTTATATTCTGTTTATCTGGATATTCATGCAAATGACCTAAAAAGGAAAAATATATGCAAAACACCTTCTCAAGTTCGTATTTCACTGCAGAAAGGATTTCTGTAAAGATCAAGACCTGCATAATTTTAAAATAGCACCATCCTGTTAACAATTAGCTTTAACGTTTTGTTGGTGAGATGTAACCTTAAGTATCTATGAAGAGTTGAGGAAAAAAGGGCTTTGCAGTTAAGTTAGGAAACATTTTTTCTTTACTCCATTATTCTATTTTTAGTAATTTTTTGTGAACAACTTAAATTGTTTCATGTGATTATGTATTTGGAGAATAATATAAATACTATACTTGCCTGTTTTTGAAGTGGAATGAAAGCCTATCATTGCAGAAAGTCAAGCCTTCATTCATTTCTTTGCCCTCATACAAAGACTGACAGCAAACACAGCTTTATGCAGTATTTACAGGGGATCCATCTCCTCCTTTTGATGCACATCTTGTGCTTTACTCTTCAGTTAAAAGGATAAGATGGTAAAAATGACACTCAGTTTTGCATCATCACTGGCTTCTCTACATCTTTCAAGTTTCCACATCTGGCTGATCTACAGAAGAGTAGTAAGGACAATAAACAGTATATTATCTGAGTAGATTGTCTAGACAATTTTTAGTAAAGAAACTAGCTATCATTATATCCATGTTTGGCTTCCATTCTTACCAGCCTCCATAAGTATTACAGTGGGATGCCCTGTGTGTGCTGTGAGAGGGGAAGAGAAGGAGTAGAAGGTAATACTGAAATTGGCCTTGATGAACAGGTCTCCGAAACTGGGCTGTGCGGTGTCTGATTTTGAAGCATATCTTTGTGATTTTAAACACTTCAGAAAGTATGTTTTAAATTTGTATATCTATTAGTATGTTCAAGCTGCCATAAAATCAAAAATCTCTCTGGTGATACTCAACAATCTTAGTAAAACTCAGTAGCTGCTAATTGCAGCATATGCAGCGACACCACAGCAGGAGGTGATGGGAAGTGCCTTGCAGCGACTAATCCAACTTTGTACATTAGATTTTAGAAGCTCTCCAGCATCTTGGCATGCTTGTTGGAGGAAGCTAATTAAATTACTGTAACAATGAACAGAATAGTTTAGTGCCTGTTCATGTAACAGAGGCAGTCTGGAATTTCCTGGCGACAATGGAGACTGGGTAATAAGTGGCACTTAAGTAACACTAATTAACAGGATCTTCCTCAAAAATTAGTCCCCCTACTCTCTTTAGCACCACTATTTGTAATGACAAGGCATTACTCTTTACAAAAAACAAGCGCACAATATGGCTGTAGCAATTAAGACAAAATTGTCTATTTTAGATTTTGTTTTACAAAGCTTAATGAATATAGGGACCTTGTATTTACAAATAAAAACATTCAACTTACTATATGGTCCCCAGCTAATCTGGCACAGGACTGAACATATCCTAAAAATGTCTGTCATCAGTCTTTTCTGCTGCTGTAAGTCTAAGATGTAATGAGACAGAACGGAATTAGTTTAAGTAATAAATGTTTAATCAAAGAATTTTACATATTATTAACAGCATTCATTTGGCCAAACATCTACATGGTTGTAGTATCCTACTTGTATATAAAGTGGGAATGTATCAAGTATAGACTATGAAAGTGCAAATAACAATTCAAGGTTAGAGTAATTTTTTTACATTATAAAATTAACAGGTTTACAAAATAGTCTTGCCAAACCTTATTTTTGAATTGTAAAGTCAATGACTATGGTGTTAAAATAAGTACCAAGAAAATACAAATTTAATAGGCTAATTTCATGCTCATAAGAGTAACACGGAAACAATGGATATACTGCACAACCTAACCAAAGTACAAAAAACCAGAACCCACAAACTTCACTATCTTCACAGAGAGCACTCTTACATATCTTACTGTAACTTTGCAAGACATCTCAATGCAATACACAATCTTTTTGTGATAATCTTTCTATTCAGAAATTACAATTCAAAGAAGCTATGTGAGTTGAACTACTTTCAGACCAATTCATGATGCTAGTTCATGAAGAACTGTTTTAGCTGAAGGATTTTATACCACAGAACAATTTAAAATAGGTATTTTTCAAAGATGTCCAAAGGTTCATGATCATGTCAGGAGTAGGGCGCCTAGAGGAAAAGCTGGAAAATGATTTCAGACTATTCTATTCCATTCTCTCTAAAGATGCTTGCAAAATGAACTAGATTTTTATGGGGTAAGGGTAAAATATTGTTATTTCATTTTTTACTAATATGAACCTTGTGACTGCAAGGTTCAAAAGCTGGATTTGCATGAATTAGTTACCAAAACACTCACTTGAACTCACAGTAATCAATACATAAACTTTGCTATCATGACACTTGCCTAAACACACTCAGTAGTAATAAACTTTTATATCATATCAACAAATCTCTGGTAACAGTTAAGCAAAACTTAAAATGGAGTGTATGTAATTTGCTTATGTTATGACAAGTTTTGATTATATGTAATTAAAACAGCCATTTCAACAACTTACTCTAGTTGTAATTACATACTGTACCATTGTATCTCACTAACTGTAGATTGATGCTTTTAAGCAAATCTAAAACCAGTATTTTTTTTTCACGGTACAACAACTAGGAAAAGGGGGTTTTGTGGGTTGTTTTTTTTTTTTAATTTTTTTTTTACACTAAACAGTAATCACATAGCAAATGAATATTGTGCAATTGAACAAATACCTAGCAGTGTTTTGTTTATGCAAAAACACTGACGGAACATTTAGTTATTTACTGTAAAGGCAAGGCCATGGGTGGTTTTATGGAGGTCTTTGCAATTAATAGCATAGTTACTCCAGAACAGACACTGAATTTGAATTACTTGTTTAACTGTGGCAACTATCCAGTTGGGTTAGGCAAAGGCACCATAACATGTTGAGCAGAATGTGTTATTCGAACTTGGATTGTGGGACTGGCTAATATATGAAAATTCTGTATTCCTGTATTTTTATAAAATGTTATCATTAAAAGTAATTGCACTATTAGTGCATAGAATGCTTTGTAGAATTATGAAAACAAAGAACTATGATTGCACTTCCATTAAAGTGTCTCTTAAAATACAGCATAGCTGTTGCTAACTCACTGTATTTTAATATTTAAAGTAACTGTTTAACAGCAGCATTAGGTTTTATTAACTTAAGATACAGGCTACATTTAATTAAATGCAGTCACCATGGCAACACACGCCAGTTAAATTTAGAGAAGCAATGCTACCCAGTGGTTTCTTTCACTGCTAAGAATTGCGGGATTAGTTTGATAGAGTAACACTGCACTGTTTCGGTAGGCTACTGCCAACTAACTATTCACAGTTTGGCACATTTGGACTGTAAATAGACATGAAAAAATCTTTGATTTTAATGGGAAAGAATATCCCCTAAAACTTGTTCCTGGAGCAGTACTAAAGAGAAGCATTAAATACCTCCGTTCACACTGCTAACAAAAATTAAAAATGAGTAAGGAAAAGTTATGGAAAACAAAACCAAAACGCAAATGAATTGCTAATGTTATTTTGGTGAAAGAATGAGTTCTACAAAACGGAATAAACTATTTCCTAGGAAAACCAACCAAAATAATCAGTGTAAGCCTTTAATCTGTACTTTCAAGTTAAGGATCATCAACCTAAGGCTAAACAGATGCTGCATTGTATTAGGAATGTGGAATACAACCTACTTATTCCTTTTTCTTGAGAGCAAAAAGGCAAGAACTACCTAATTAAATGCAAAGGATATTCCTTGAAAGGTTCACATTATTATAAAGAACTACAATTCAAGAGAACTCCTAAATATCTGTTGTTACGTCAGTGGTTACAACTGAGCTGTAATTATGTGGATCAAAGCCTCCATAATGCTTACTCCACATACTGTACCATCTGTCACCGCCATTCATTTACTCCAGATTTAGTTTTTATTCATACCAGATGCACATGTTCAATCCATTCACTTGAGGTTTGAGGAGTCTGACTTGAAGTATCTCCTGAAGCATCCAGGGCGCTAGTTACCTCCCTGTTATCATCACCACTTTGTGATACCATTTCACCTGGAATAATGTTTTCTTCAGAAGTGCTTTCCTCTGTTTGGGTTCCTCTGCCTTCGTTTTTGAGTGCATCCTCAAATAGTGCGTGCTCTTCCTGAGGCTCCAGCCCTGTGTCTATAAGATTTGGTTGCCCTGCTGACCCATCTTCAGTACTGGGTTGCTGTGAATCCTCATCTGTTTCTGTACTTGTTGAGGGGATCAGAGCAATACTCTGTGGGTTCATGTCATGAAACCAGGCCATAATATTTCCAAGTAGATTTTCACTGGTATTGGGATCTTGACTGCTGGAATCAGCGTCACTAGATGTTGAGTATAATCCACTTCTTGTATCGCTGCAGGGGTGTGAATGAAGACGATCAGCTGAAAAAGGATCACTGCCTGCACCTAGTCTCATCAGACTGTCACCAAGTTCTAACAGCTCAGAGCTGCTCAAAGCGCCTCTTGGGTTATCTATACTTATGCGAGCAGAGTCCAATCTTGTAGGCAAAGAGGTACCTATTGCTCCTAAAGATGCCTCATTATTTAGAAAGTCTCTAGTTTCTTCATCTATGGCCAAGCCAGATTCTTGTAATGATAACTGAATCGCTAGCAGGATGTTTGGGTCATCTTCATCCAAAGAACTCAGAGCCTGTGGAAATACATAAGGTTGCTTTCAGAATAAAACTTTCATCTTGTTACACATTTTGGATTAAATGTAATTTGGGCTCAAATCTGAAATTCATTCATTATTCCTACACGTCATTTATCAGAATCAATTTCTACTGGCACAGTTGACAACAGAATTTAAAAGGTGACTATTGTTACATTAGTGATCGTTCAGCAATTCTTACCGGTGTGAATGTATAATTTGTTGTCCTAGATTCTCCCTTTCTCATTGAAGTATTAAGAAAATTTGCAGAGAGACAAAATGACACAGAAAAGCAGAGCAGAGGAAGGCAAGCAAAGCTGAGAGAATGGAAAAGAGATTAGGGGAGATACCTGAAGAGAATCCTGGTTTTCAGAGTGACTGACAGGGGTATAGTCATGAAGCGAAGAGCTGTGCAGAATACCCATAGAAGCTGAACTCACCATGGAGGTGCCATGTCTTCTACTACTGCCACCTTCCTGAGTGTCTGTTTGGGCAATTGAAAGAAAAATGGTTGAAGAACCAGTGAGGAAGCCTTCTCCACTATTATTTACTGACAGAATCTCTTCCTTCCTTTTGGATTCCAGCTGTGTAATTTTACTCCTTTTTTCACTCTGAATGAAATAATCCAAAACACTCCTTCTACACCAACTCTTACACAGTGGCAAAACACCAGTCCCTCTGTTTTAGGAGTGACTGCCTGGTTCATTTGTGCCTTTCTGCTCTCAATACCCTTCTTCTCTTTGAAAGGATGGGGTATGCCATCAGGAGCATGAGCCCGTTGGCAGGAGGGGCAAAGTGCTTCTAAGGCACATCCATGATTTATGGAAAGTCCTGAAAGATACTGCACATGGACACGATACAGGATGCATTTACAGGTGGATTACAACCAAAGTTTGCCCGTTTCTCTGTTCTTTCAAAGACAACAACTCAGCTGCAATGTTAACATTACATTAATTTTTACCATAACTTTGCAGCACAATTAAGAGTAGAGTCGTTAGTGTATACCTCAGCAATCACTGACATTGCTGTTTTCTTAAAACAACCAACAAAAAAATAGAAGTAAAACGCTGTTTCCAGAAAAATTGCTCTGTAATAAAAATAAATGTAACTCTCTTGACTTTGGAAAATGGAATTTTCCACTTCAAAACTCAAAATGAAATAAGGTGAGATAAACTAATTCTTGCATGCTTTAACAGTATGCACTGGTCACCACTACAATATCCAAGTGCTCAGGCAAATTCTAGTCCTCAAACTAACAAGATCGTTTTGCATTTTACTTGTAATAGGGAAGGGCCAAAGCTCACCAAAATTCTTTTTACTGTTTCTAAAATAAAGAATGCATTTGTTTATTTCTCCTCAGTAAAGGATTTCTCCTTTTGTTTTTAAAGGACAAGCTATGTATAGGACTTAAGTTCACGAGACACAGAGATGAGAGTTTGTGCAGCATGGCTTAGAGACCAAGCACACAACTGGCAGCTCTGAAGAAACAGCGTCACAGTACGATTTGGATTCAAGCTATTTTTGTACCTTTGCAAAAGCTCCTGGCAGAATGGAGACAGCCCAGACAGCCAAGTTACAGTGACCTTAAGTGACGGCACTACCAGCCGTAGTGCTGCTTATAAGAGCAGCACGCTGGAAGTCGTAGCCCATGCCAACTTGTTTCCTGGCTGTCTTTGCCAATACAGGAGTTTCTGAGCAGGGTTTTGGAATACAGCCTTATGACTATCTTCCAGCAGGCCTGTAGCAGGGGAAACCTCTTCTACACTCTTTACGCACAACTGGTCTTTTTAATCGGCATAAAAGAGCTGGTATAAAGATAAGACTGTCATATGAAGTATAAGCTCTTCAAAATTTCTTCAGAAAAGCAAACCTGCTCTAAATAGCTGAGGAGTCATTAGTGGGAAGATCAATGCATTTCTCTTTAAAAAGAGAAGCAGCCACAATGAAGTCAGCAACACTTCACAGAATCATCATAGAATACCAGGTTGGAAGGGACCTCAAGGATCACCCGGTCCAACCTTTCTTGGCAAAAGCACGGTCTAGACAAGATCGCCCAGCACCCTGTCCAGCCGAATCTTAAGACTGTCCGATGTTGGGGAATCCACCACTTCCCTGGGGAGGTTATTCCAATGGCTGATTGTTCTCACTGTGAAAAATTTTCCTCTTGTGTCCCATCGGAATCTCCCTAGGATTAACTTGTACCCATTACCCCTCATCTCTTCCATGTGACTCCTTGTAAAAAGGGAGTCCCCATCTTCTTTGTAGCCACCCTTTAAAAACTGGCACATGGTGATAAGGTCTCCCCTCAGCCTTCTTTTCTCAAGGCTGAACAAACCCAGTTCTCTCAGCCTTGAGAAAAGAAGGCTTAAGGGAGATCACATAGAAAAATGCAAAAATAAGCCTTTATGTTGTATCCTGGTAAATACAGCAATGTATTTGAAACTTCTTTAAAGTGCATCCACAGAAGAACAAACACTGTGGTCACTACTAGCAATTTCTGAAGTAGGAAGAAAGAAAAAACAGCCCCAGGCAGGAACATACCTAATGTACTCTCACTGGGGTCATCAGGATCCGGAGTATTGCTCAGCAAACTGTGCATGTCTCCACGTCGACGCTGTCTATGCCTCCTCCGATACTGAAATTCAGCATATTCCTGCATAAACCAAAGGTTACAAAATACAGGGCAGCATGCAGTAATATTTTTCTGATGTAACGAGCACCACATTTTTATAAAAAATGTGTGATTTTATAGGTTTATTATAAAATCACCTGTTCTCAGAAAAATAAATTGCAAGTTACATCATGCAATGCTTAAAAGAAATAATAAAAAAAAAATCCAAGGTAATCCTAAATCTATAAAATAATGAATTAGCAAAGAAAAATACTTGATGTATTACCAACATTTTAATACTTGCAATCTCCCTTTTTAAAGAATTCCAAGTACACATTTTTTGTTTAAAAGCTTTGATGCCAAAACTTTACATACACACATATCGACACACTTTTTAATAAATATACCTAGTGATTTTAGAACATAAAAATAATTAGTCTGAATTAGACCAATAGATTATCTCAGGGTCCCTGTTGCCAGCAATGGCCAGTAGAAAACAACCTTTGGAAGATGACAGAAAGCTGGCATACATACACCGGGACTTGTTATACTTTTCCCAGCCTCCAGGACACTATGGCTCAGGAACTTCTTAAGCCACAGCTGATACTCTTCTACTGAACGGTCTTTTGATGGATTTTTATTCCATTAATTAGAAATCTCCTCTATTTTTGCCTAACTTGTGCTGCTGCTGAGCCATACCACATGGATTTGAACTCCTGCAGCCTGTAATTTCTCACGTTGTGTGTATTTACCAAAGACAGTTTATATAACATTTATGGAAAAGGCTCACTTTTGGCCACATCAAGCTAACGTCCCAAGGGTTAATTATCTTAACACTTAGAAATAAATGTTTTGATTTCCGTACCTTTCCTAATATTAAGAAACTAATTTTATGCTTGAAGGCAAATTTCCAAGTGTTCTGGTTAGTACAGCTGACGCTGAACCTGACTGTGCAGGTAAGATCTCTTGTAAGATCTCTTGTTAATCTCAGTTATTCATTTACACAAGGCAATAAAAATATACACACAGGTACTAGCTCTTCTCTTCGGAAAAGAATATTGCTATTTTCTTCCCTAAGCCCCAGGCTGGGAAATCTATTATCCAAAGGCTTCACTCGGCCAAATGACTTGGGAAAGATAACATTACCATTAGCTTTCCTTTCTTGTATTAACCCTTCATCCTAAAATATCTCAATGTCTAAAGCTTCTAAAATTCAAATCCAGAAGTGACATTTCTCTTACACAAATGGCCTTATTAATTTTGATGGTATTATGATGGTATGTTGTCTTTCCATGAAGTGTTTCAGATCAAGTGCTTATGCATAACGACATATGCAAGCCAAAAGAATAGTCACAAAATGATCAGTGTGGGCAGATTTTTATCTATGTAAGAAGATCCATGAAAATTGTAAGAACATAAAAATAGCTGTACTGGACCAGACAAAAGGTCCATTTAGCCCAATATTCTGTCTTCAACAGTGGTTAGTAGTAGATGCTTGTTAGCCTATGGAACAGCATAAAAACCAGGGCAAACTTGAAGTGATTCTTCTCTAAAATATTCTTCCAGCTCCTAGGGAGCTCAAGGATTTCCTAAATGGAAGGCGGCTCCCCAAACAACACAAAATCAAATCTTGATATGAAACAACATAACTGAATTATTTTAAAAATATGTAATTATTTAACTATGAACTGGATAAGGAGTAATGAGAAGTGATCACTGAACGCTGAGATTTATTAGTCATTTCAGATCTTATCTCTTATCTGTTTGCAATAAAATAATAGATTTTACCATTAGCCATTTAACTTTTGGTTGCTTTTTAACCTTTAGAAAGATATCTTGATTACTGCTGATAAAATTTTATTTCTGATTACTTGGAACAATTTTATACATGTGAACAAAAGAAGTTTTAATTTTATTGGGTAGGAACATCATGGTTTCACATAATGGTCTACAACAAGCAGCGTTCCTTGCTAAAACCAGTAAGATTTTGTTTTCTGTAATAATCTGGTATTCACAGACATTCTACTACTTGTACAGCTCTTTGTCAAAAATTTTGTAGTGAAATTCAGTAAAATAAACAAAGATGACCATTATTAATTCTACAAAATTCCTTTAGCATAGGTGGTTGCAAGTATCCTTGATAGCTATGTAGCAAAGGAACCAACTTGCATCATACAGTACCACATTTAGGCAAATCACAAAAACTCATAAGCAATCATCTAAGCACGACTGCAATGGCACCTACTGCTAAACAGCTTATCAACATATTTCTTATCAGCTTTTTCTCATAACCAGTTCCACTGATGATACAGTAACATCACAATGGGTTTGATATTATCAAATGTGGAATTATTTCAAAGGGAAGGACTAGAGGAACTAGACAGGAGAAGCAAGTTGATCTTTTGTAGAGAAGCAAGCTATTTTCTCACCAGCGTGATGCTCACCAACAATAGCAAAGGAAATATATAGAAAAAGTACATGGCGTTTTCCAGGATGCTTTAAGATGACTAGGTAGAAAGAAAACAGCACCAAGGAAATGTTGAAATGAAGTTTCCTTCCTCACTGAATGCTTTAATCTAATGTTCTCAAAATATTAAATAAAAATTAAGATGATAAAGGAAAGCTTTATAGGAAGCTTCTCATGTTTTAGTGCAGCGTCTTGACAATTATTTACTCTTT